GAGTCGTTCGTGCCACACCGACAGCGGTTGTACATCATTTTCGGCATGATGAGCTTCATGTTCTGGTAGCACAACTTGTGTGTTCATCGTGTACAAATTTCGTTCATAACTGTAACCAGTCATGAGTGTCTGGTTTCTTTTGTTGACGATCTTGATTTGATCTTCTTCGATGATTGTTCTGTTGCCATGTTTTGCGCTTGCGCCGATGCTTAATAGATTACGACCTAAGTCCGGAATCCAGAGTACGTCATATAGTGTACCTTCGCGTTCTTTACCGTTTACCGTTGATATAACTCTAATATTACCTTGGCCACCTGCATAAACAATGTTTTTGTTTCCTACAGTTATCGGTACAGACTTGTCGTCAATCGCCTTGAATGTCTCGAACCATTCTCGTCGAAACGTCATATGATTGCTAGCTCCTGAATCAGCTATCCAACAATCTTCGTTCGGGCGTTCGCGCTGAGCCGTAGAGAATGATGCTGTGAATGCATCGCCATGAGACGATCTTTTACCTTGTGATGCGCTGTTAGCTTGCTTCGATTCTCGTTTAGGTTTCTTGCATTGTCGAGCCGTATGTCCTTCTTCATCACAATTGAAGCATTTTCCTTTGAATGTTTTCTTATCTTGCTTAGGCTTTTTGATGTGCTTTGACTTCTTAGCCCACAATGCAACAGATTCATCTTCGCTACTTATCTTGAGCTCACCGAAGCTTTTAGCCAGTTGTTCTTCTTTCATGAGACGAGGCAGCAGATTAGCTAATTTTTGTTCGTTTCTTGGTACTGAATCCCAAGCTGATATTACAGAACGAAAACTTGCTGGTAACGAATGCAGAATCTTCGTAATTATTGTTGTTTCATCTTGTTTATGGCCAACGTCTTCAAGTTGTCGAGCCATCTGTTCAACGTTACTGACGTGTTCCGACACCGTCATTTTATTTGGATCCATCTTATACTCGAAGAATCTTGCTAACAACAAATGCACGCTTGTTTCGTTCTTTTGCTCGTACAGAGCCTCAAGTCTCGTCCAGATTTCGTTTGAGGTTCTACAATTTACAATGTGACGTATCTGAGATAGCTCAAGCGACTGAGTCAATGCATACTTAGCTTTCTTATCTGTAGCATCCCAGTTTTCGAAACGTTCTTGTGGTCTGACATCCTTGCCACTCGCGACATCATATAATCCGTGATATTCGAGGAAGACTGACATCTGGTACTTCCACAGCCCGAAATCTGTTCCATTGAACTTCGTGACGGTAATTTTATCCATGGCTTTCCCTTTTTTTTTTTTTGTAAGACAAACAGTTTTTCCTTAACTCAAGTGTGCGTAACTACAATGCACATAACCTATTCACTGGGCGTAGACGCGACCAACTGGGCCCATAACCTGTTACGGAAATGGATGTGAATAGGCTTGTATATTAAAAATGTCACCACTTTCGGTTGTAAGAAACTGAATTCCTTTTATTATTAGAATAAGCCAATACTTATATGCACAAAAAGGGGCGTTGTCAACCACCAACGTGTGTTCGAAGGTTTTACAGAGAGTCGACTGTACTAAACAAAAAAAAAGGTTATTATGCACGCCCGAAACAGCAGCGCGGAAACGAACGAAAAAGCGCCATCTAAAAGAAAACGAGTCGAATTATCTTCAACATTTTATATCTTAATCTGACATATTTCGATATAAAATTTAAATTAAAATATCTCTTTAAATTAAAATATTAAGTTATGGATAATCTTATCGTAATACTTTTATGATTAGAATAATGAGAAGTGGTAAAGAAAACGCATAATTGTTAAAAAAGTACATTGTAAATTACATACTTTTTCTTCAAAATAACAATGGGTTTTTTTACACGTATTGATTCGTTTTATTATTCTGCGCATAAAAATATTACGGTAAGATCATCGATAACTAAATATTTTAAGAAATTCTAGATTTTATATCAAAATATGTCATATCTCTCTCTCTCTTTTTTCATGTTTGCGAAATTTTCGTAGTGCAACTTGGGGAAGTCAAATTCATTGACCCTTGGCACTTGGTGCAAGAAATACACGTAGCGCAACTCGGGGTATTCGAGTTCGTCAACTCTTGGGACCTGGTGCGAGGAATTCCCGTAGCGCAACTCGTAAAAGTCGAATTCGTCGACTCTTGGCACCTGGTGCGAAAAATTCCCGTAAATTTTAATGATAATGATAATACCCTGGGCCCCTAATTCTTACCGCTCCTGCGGACAGAGGAGAAGAA